GAGATGTTCCCCTCTTCTACTAACACTCCTAAAAAGGGATTATAGTAAGGGGATACTCTAACCCCTAGGCCCTATTCATACCCCTTCGTAGAAAGGGGGAACATGCCAAGGTATCAGGTATCCGATATGAGGACCCTTTGAAGCAACCCCGACACAAACAGGCCGAGAGCTGGAGCTGTCCAGGGCAGAGCTGCAAGAGGCATTGGGGGGTTTTGTCCGAAGTTGGGGCAGGGTTTTAGGGTTTTTGGGTTTTAGGGTTTTAGGGTTTTAGGGTTTTAGCGTTTTAGGGTTTTAGGGTTTTAGGGTTTTAGGGTTTTAGGGTTTTAGGGTTTTAGGGTTTTAGGGTTTTAGGGTTTTAGGGTTTTAGGGTTTAGCGTCTAGGGCTTAGGGTTTAGGGTTTAGTTTTTGTTTTTTGTTTTTTTTTTGGGGGGGGGGGGGGGGGGGGTGTGTGGAGGGACGCTCAAGAGGAAACGAGCTCAAAGCGCTGAGGAAGTATGTTAGGAGCATGTCGGAGCCTTGTGGCCCGACGGATCCTCATGACTTCGAGGCCCGCGACAGGAGCCTTTCGCAAAAATGCAGGTTCCTTTTCACTGCGATCTACAACTGTATAGCGATGCAACAATACCGACTTGAGTAAATCGGCTCCCTCTATGGTGGTAGTCTTTGCATACAGGGCTTCGCGATTGAGTAAAAACTTCTTTCATCCGCAACACAGGGCGTTTGCTCTGCATGCCATGCCTTACACCCTAATTCTGATTGGGAGCAGTGCCACTTGTATTTTTGCTTTGGTTGCGCAGCCACATCCTGTGGAAAGTCTTGTTGAGCTGCTGGGTGGCAGCTTTTGAAGAGCTCGAATTGACCGGGCTAAGGGTTTAGGTAGGGTTTCCAGAGTGTCAGGTTGAGGGTTGTTTCATGGGGGGGTTTCTCTGGTTCAAGGTGGTTGGATGTTGTGTCAACGAAGAACTCTAGAGGTTTGACTGTGTCTCACGGCTGTGGCGCTGCCTGTCTCCCGAAACCCGCACCCTACTTGGAGATTCATGGTACTTTATTAACCAATTACAAACCCCTTAAGTACCCTCATATGGTTATAAGTACAGTTATAAGTAGAGTACAGTAGATTTATACTTGGTTAATACGCGCAATGAACCGCCAAGTATAGACCTCGCCGTAAGCCAGGCGGCACGCTGCCAGAGAGTTGAAGAGGAGATTGCCCCATGATCACTCTTGGGGACCAAATACACCCTAGAAGGGTTTATGCTTCAGATACCTTAATCGGAATTTCGGGTATATGACCCCAATTGGGAAGTGCTATACCCAGTATGAGACCGTTACCGGTTTTGAGGAAAGGCCTCTCCTTTGCGCAGTTTGTTGGCTATCGAAAGGAAAGTTCACGGCATGACCTACATCTTTATGCACTGCCTTCCACTTCAACTGAATCCCGATATTCTACAACAGGGCACGACATGGCCACATACACAGTGACCTAGAGTGGTCACAATCCCATTTAGCCTGATTAGTAAAGGAGTGAACCTCGTTTCTGGGATGACTTGCGCGTAAACGATGCGACATGACAGAGATTCTGATGCAGACACAGGAAAGGACCACGGATTTGCTGTTCATGATTCCTTTAAATTCCAGCCCTCCTTTCTCCTGAAGCTTTCAGCACGACACGTTCAGGAGCTGATGCAGACAACACGTGCCACGCTTGAGGCCACACTCTCCTTTGCACCCTGGCCCTGCGGTGAAAGTCTAAGAAGTTCCTATCTGGGCCACCTAAACCCCTAAACCCCTTAACCCAGTTCCACATGCATACCAAACAGCAAAGTCTTGCCCCGGGCTCTGAAGCAAACTTCATGAAACGGATGCAACGGAGATTGAGAGACTTGGTACTTATTTGTGAGCCGCGAAGCGACATTGCAAGACTCTGTTCTCCTTAGCACAGGGTCGACTCCTGCATGCCGCCTCTGGATGGACTTACTTGGCGGTCAAGAGTCGAACATTTTAGGGTTTAAGGCTCAGGGTTCAGGAGCTTTTGGCTCTCATGATTGTATGCCAACAAGGAATGTTGGGCCGTGTTGTTCCGTGGCTGTTGAGTCTCAGAACGTCACTGTTTTTCAGCCCTCAGCCCTAAGCCAGCCTGAGCCCGCCCGTTTTACGTCGTGAGGGTTGGTCTCATATGGGCCAATTTTGGCACTCAAGACCATAAACGAGCTTACCCTAAAACCCTACAAGCCTAAAACCCTAAAGCCCTAAAACCCTAAAACCCCAAAACCCTAAAACCTAAAACCCTAAACCCAAAACCCTAAACTCTACAAACCCCTTTGGGCAGGCCCTCAAGCAGCGTGCCCATGAGGCAGAGCAGGTGCGTCTCGAGGCTCGCTGTCGGCAGGGGAAGCGTTCAACTTGAAGCTGAAGGTACCTAATAGGGCTTATAGGGTTAGAGGGTTTTCAGGCTTTCGGATGTTTCGGGTAATTGCCTTTCACCCCAAAACAGAGGGTAAGATGTTGTGTGGGTCATTGTTATGTACGGGGGGCTGCTGTGCGACTCCCGCCTCTCGACGAAGGTCGCCCGCTGGACACAAAGTACCCTAAACCCTGAACCCCAAACCCTAAATTAAAAACCCTAAACCCTAAACCCTAACCCCTAACCCCTAAACCCTAATTAAACCCTAAACCCTCAACCCTCAACCCTCAGCCCTCTACTAAACCGCCCTCAGGAGCAGCAGCGGCAGCGCGAGCAACTTCTTGACTGCAAGGACTCCTGGGCATGTTGACCGAAGGCCACGTAATCTAGTTTAGGGTTTAGGGTTTAGGGTTTAGGGTTTTTTAGGGTTTAGGGTTTAGGGTTTAGGGTTTAGGGGTGGTGCTGGGAGTCCATGCGAATCGGCTGTTTGGGTGGGGCCGGGGGGCTGACTTCTGGCTTTTGGGGGGTCACTGGCTTCATGGTATTTACGGTGACGTTGAAAAACATGTTATGGGCGTCTTACTCTTCGTACGCCACACCAGCGGAATGGACCGATGCTTCCGTCCAGGCGCATTCATTCCCTATGTATTTATCCAAACCCTAGAATCCCGAAACCCAGCAAACCCAAATCCGCAAGTTCGTTCGGAAACGTTTTAAGGCCTAAAGGGCTCAAACGCTCCGATGCAAGGAAAGAAGCGTCAGGACCTGAAGAGTCCCAAGCGGGTCGAAAAATTATTCACACCCGAAGCCGAAGAATCTTAGGGTTTGGGTTTGGGTTGGGGGTTTAGGGTTTGTATTAGGGTTTAGGGTTTAGGGCTTAAGGGTACCTACCCAAGATCCTGAAATTCCCGGCCTCCAAACGCCCAGAAGGTCATAATTAAAAACAGCAGGTCCCAACAACCACAAAGTATGGGTTTGCGACGACCTAGCGGACCTGGCCCACCTGAACCCCGCAACCCAAACTGGTGGTTCAAACCGCCCGTATGTAACTCTAAGCCCCAAGCCCCGAAACCCTGCATAAACACCACCTAAACAAACCCCAATACCCTAATGACCTAAATACGCCCTTACCCCCTCAACCCGCTAATCTCTTAGAGTATTCACATTGTCCGTGAATATGGGCCCTTACAACGGGACCCCCTTACATACCCTTGTATACCCCCATAAAGCCCAAGGCCCATACTTCAGACCCCTTTAAACCATGAAACTACAAACCCTAAACCCTTAAATACCCCCTACTGTACTTGGAGGTTCGTGGGTACTTAAAACCACAGTTATAAGTCTACTTCTCACCTACTTAGGGGACTTAGGGGGTTTATAAGTAGATTTAAAATTAGGGTTAAGCCCTGAACCCTAAACCCTAAACCCTAAACCCTAAACCCTACAAACCCAGAACCCTAGAAGGGCGCGAAGCTGTCGCCAGGATGGGCTCCAGCGCCTCCTAGGGAAGCTTAGGCCTGTCTCACGGGTTTAGGGGTTAGGGTTTAGGGTTTCCGGCGAAGGGCGTGGAGAAAGTGTAGGGTTTTTGAGAGTCAGGGTTCTTGGTTTTGGGAAACATCAGATACTCGCATAGGCATTCGGCATGAAGTGCTTGTGTTAGGTTGTTTCCGGTCGGGTGCAAGCCGGAGTTCGAATCAGTGCCTGCCTGCCTCTGCCGGCTAGTGCCAAGCCTAGGTAGGCTCTTGGGACATGTTCTATTCTCCCTTAGTGGGTTTAAGAGGATCATAGTCAGGAATATCTTTCAGAGGGGTTCAAGGGCCATCCTAGTAGCACACTGCTATGCCATAGTAAGGTCATGTGCATCACGGCTTGAGCTTCAAGACGTTCAGCCAGAGCCTGAAAAGACCTGAAACAACCCCTACCTGATCCAGCAAGATTAGGACCGGGAGCAGGCCCTTTTTCCCTTTTTTAAGGGTTGGGGTTCCCTTATAATCCCTGGTAAAACTAAGAAGGGCGCCCTGTTTCTTCCTAGGTTACTCCCGGGTCTAGAAGAGTTCGCGAAAGCAGCTAGCACTTCCTAGGGAGCCGCAATCGTCGCTGATCTGAGCTCCAAGAATTTCATGATGACCCCAAACGCTACAGGGTTTAGGGTTTAGGGTTTAGGGTTTAGGGTTTAGGGTTTAGGGTTTAGGGTTTAGGGTTTAGGGTTTAGGGTTTAGGGTTTAGGGCCCTCAACCCCAAGCGCTCAAGCGAAGCACTCCCTTGAAACCCGAAGCCGCGAGGGAGGAGTATGATCAAGATGTGAGCAAGCTCACAGAGGTGAACGAAGAGGTGCCGCACTCTGGTTGTGGAATGGTTCTGGGGGTTTAGGGGTTTAGGGGTCTAGGGGTTTAGGGGTCTAGGGGTCTAGGGGTCTAAGGGTCTAGGGGTTTAGTAGGGGTTTAGGGGTTTAGGGGTTCTGGGTTTGTTCGTGCGATTCGGGCTTTAAAGCTGTGGGCGTAACTATAGTTGCGCAAGTTCCCATTCCGAGTACTGGTTGTACTACCTTTTCATGTGCTCGGCAGGAGGTGGGAGGGTTTTTCAAGGCGCCTCTGCAATGAAGGAGAAGAAGCTGGAGTACGAACGCGAGCTCACCATGCTCGAGGCCGCGGCCCTCCTGTTGCCATTTCAGCGAGACCCTATTTAGGGGATAGGTTGTGGGTTTTAGGGTTTAGGGTTTAGGGTTTAGGGTTTGGGGTTGGCCAATCCCCTTGTTTTGTTCAACGCTCCCCTGCGATTACAGACCTTCCGCGAACCGTTTGTATTCAGGTTGCGAATCTTGCGGTAGAAGACGCCATGGCTTCGGACGCCATCGCAGCACCGTCTGTGACTACGCGAACTTTTCTTGCCGCCCCAACCTAGTGGCCACGGCCAAACTGTGTATAGCCTCCGCCCATCCGTGCAAGGAGCGATGGTGATGGACTTTCTTGGGTTACACAGAGCCACACCGCTCAAGACCCCTTTAGCCCCTGGAATCCTAAAGCGCCTGAAGCCGGGTTGCGGCAACGCTCCCAGGTCGCCGGTCTCTCCGAAGTTGAGGAGGCGATCACCGCACTGGAGGTCACCGTTTCTTATCATGACTTGCGGCGGGCTCTGCTGGTCAATGTTTACAGACGAGAGCTTTGCTGCGATGACTCGGAGTAGCAGACTCTTCATTACCGGTCGCCCCCCCCCCAATAGAACAAACTGTCTGCTTGCGATGATCTGCGCAAACGCCCAATTGCAGAGTTTGAGCCTTTTACGCTACAGGCTCTCAGAGCCGGATGCTTTGGGATGCCAAGGGGTCCATATATGGGGGTTTCCGATATTGAAATTGGGGCTACCCTATTGGGGTCCTTCTTACAAGGGAACCCTAAACCCTAAACCCGAAACCCTAAACCCTAAACCCTAAACCCCCTAGTTTCGCAAACCCCCATAATGACAGGAGCAACAGGCCATGCTCCAGAAGGAGCTGCAGCGACTCACGGCTTGAACCTGAGCCCTCGGTTTAGGGTTTAGGGTTTAGGGTTTAGGGGTCAGGGTTTAGGGTTTAGGGTGTAGGGTGTAGGGTGTAGGGTGTAGGTAGGGTGCATACTTTCAGGGTCTTGGAAGCTCTTCTGACTTAGTAAGTCTACTTAGTATCCCCTAGAAACCCCTCTTATAATCCCCCCAACCCACCTTGCTAATCCTACTTACTAAGTCAAAAGGGCTTCTAAGCAGGCTTTTGGTGCCCAAAGCTTGCTGAGGGAAGCACGTCTCCCAGGTTTTGGTTCTTTTCTGGAGCGTTGCGGTGGGCCTTGATGTGTTGCTGTCTACGGAAAGGGGCAAACCGGTCGGATCATACCCACGAGGACCACTTGACCCAAAGGGTCCTGGTATCTTTTTTAAATCAAAAATATGTAGATAAATAAATATAGTTAGAGAGAGAGAGAGAGAGAGCCAGAGAGTAGATATGCCCCAAGGCTAATACAATGGAGCCTGCTTAAGACCCAAGTACATATCATATATCATATTATGTGGGTACATAGGCCCTTTAGGTAAAGTTGCCCACGCTGAACGCAACGTCAACGGCCTAGGCCTGGCCCTGAACCCTAGAATCTTAAACCCTAAACCCGAAACCCTGGCCTATACAGGTTTTGTTTTGAGAACCCTGAACCAAAGCCCTACCCACGATCCCCAAAAGGGAGCTACATTTCGGGGTCTAGGTAGCACCGAAGCAGCTCAGATGACGCTCAAACATTCCTAACCTCATCCCTTAAACCTAAACTTATAAACCCTAAAACCCGAAACCGTTGAACCCTTAAGACCTGAGATTTAAATTAAACCCTCCGCCTTGCGACCTGACACCCAAACCCCCAGGCCTAAACCCCAAACCCTAAACCCCAAACCTAAACCCTGAAACCTACAATCCCTGAACCCCCAAACCTAAACCCTTCAACCTAAACCCTAACCCCCCAGACCTTAACCCTTTAACTCTGAACCCTTAAACCCTTAGCCTTTAAACCCATAATCCCTGAACCCCCAAACCCTATAACCTAAAACTTAAACCTTCAGCCCCTAAACCGATATTCCCAGAACCCCCAAACCCTAAACCCCAAACCCTAAGCCGCTCGTTGCAGCAGCAAAATGCCAACACACTTCTAAAAAACATCCAAATCCTAAACCCTAAACCCTAAACCCCTAAACCCTAAACCCTTAAACCCCTAAGCCCTAAACCCTAAACTCTAAACCCTAAACCCTAAACCCTTATAAACCCGAAGTTGCGACCCCAGGCGTCTACGCCGCGCGGCCGGGGGACCAGGCCTGGGTCGCTCAGGGTTTAGGGTTTAGGGTTTAGGGTTTAGGGTTTGGGGTTTAGGGTTTGGGGTTGAAGGTTTCGGGTTTGGGGTTTAGGGTTTGGGGTTTAGGGTTTGGGGTTTAGGGTTTAAGGTTTAGGGTTTAGGGTTTGGGGTTTAGGGTTTGGGGTTTCGGGTTTAGGGTTTGGGGTTGAGGGTTTAGAGCTTAGTCGAGGGTTGACGGTTGAGGGTTTAGGGTTTAGGGACCCTAAACCCTAAACCCAATGGGGAGTACTGGTAGGGGATGAAAAAGATTAGGGGTATCATTGTCTCGCATGGGTCCCTGTGGTCGGGGGTTTTAGGTTTTCAGCTCAGGTTTTGGTTTCTTGCAATTATTTTTTCTGTTAAGGGTGTAGGTTTCTTGAAAGGAGTTCAGGGTTTTTTGGGGGTTCTTGTTTTTGCATCTCACGGCGGCTTTGGGGTGTTTGGGATCCTTTAGGGGGGGAGTTTCTAGGGCTTTAGGGTTTTGATTCCCTAAACAGCGTTTAGGGGTGTAGGGATGGGCTTAGGATGTTGTAGCTCCGGACCTCGTCCGTGGTGGTTGCAGCTTCTGCTGTGAGGCTTCCTACCGATGTTTCTGTTTGCTTGCAGGGCTTAGGGCTCATGGAGGCCTTAGATCTCGACAGGCTACATTCGAAATTGCTTTGGCATGTGCTGCTCGGGGCGCAGGAAGATCAAGCTGTTGTTGTTTGTTGCGCCCGCGTTTGTTTGCGAAGATCCCTGTCTTGAAAAATACCACGCTGCCTTGACGGCCAAGCAGGTGACGTGCTGTAGCCTTCTCTCGCCCCCCAGGAATTCTGTGGCGCACAAGCCGAGCGGGCACAGACCGTCCAGAGCACTGTGAGCCACTGCGGAAGAGTCGAAGTCGTAGAGCTGTGGCAACCGCCCACCGGCATTCTTTCAACTGTTCTTGCTCGTTTCGCCGGAATTCCTATTTGCTGGATATACACAGTTCTCAAGTAGGCAGCCGTTTGCCCTGAAGGGGACGGCAAGGGCAAGCCAAAACTTTTTAACCGGGACCGCGGTTCCGCAACACTTGGAAAGCTTGAATTTAGGAGGGTTTAGGGTTTAGGGTTTAGGGTTTAGGGTTTAGGGTTTAGGGTTTAGGGTTTAGGGTTGCTTCAAAAGAGCCATGCCAATGCCACACCCTCACACAGCGTGACAGTTTAACGCCCCGGCTCCCGACCCCCCGGCTTGAGACCCAGACGTGGTACATGTTCAAAGTCAAAAAAATGGGTTTAAGTTTTATGTTTTTGTTGGGTTGAGCCACTTTCAGTTAAGGCCTCGCATGAAGCAACAGGGCTTAGGGTTTACAATTCAGGTGGGAATAAGAGGTATTGTTCTCTCTGCTTTCGAGCAGCCTGTCAGCCTCGCGTTCCCGAACGAGGCCGCGCGCAGATACGAGTGATTGCCCCACTCACCCTCACATACCTCCACGCAAGACCAGCGCCCGCTCATTCTCCGACAAGCATGCCTGAAGACAAGGGCTAGGGGTTTGGTTGCGGCTTGAGGGCTGCGGCGTCAGTCGAGAGGGCTTTCCAAGTTCTCTGTGCTGCCAAAGGCAGCACGCCTGGCCGCCCAGCCGGGCTTCGCGAGAAAAGGCATTCACATCAAGGGTCATGTTATGACGATGATCCTCCACACTCGTGTACTGAATGCTGTCACAGGCGTGCTGCTGCTTTGGGCGCTTGCTTTGCACCATGGACTGCGTGCAGTTCATGATGTCAATGTCTGTCGCCACACCCACAGGGCTCTAACCTGTAGCTTGCGACATGCCGCCAGTGTGTGTATGCTGAGAATTCACTCATTGACATGTGCAGGTACTTACGAGCACACAAGTGCTTCTTTCTTGATGCGAAAGTCAGTTGGGTCATACGGGTCACAAGTCTCAGACTTACCTTCCGGCTGACTTCGTCGAAGACTTAGAAAGCATACAGAAGTCGAACGCATCCATGTCAGAACTTAGAACTTCAAGGGTGCCATCAGCTTCTGCAATGCCTTCCGTTTGGGGAGAGGCGATGAAGCTAGTAGACAAGTGCGACTTGCCTGAATCCAGCGCCTCGTTTTCCTGGAGTCCTCTTGCTACATGACAGGTTCCGTTAGGGCTAATTTGGTGCATTTCCCCCCCCCCCCCTTTCCTCCCAAATACCACGATCCCTACTACCCCTATTATAGGAACTTTCGAGTAAGTGTACCAATTTTTTGAAAACTCATTTTAGGGTTTGGGCTTAGGGTCGAGGACGCTCTCGAGTGGCATCAGTCACTCGCTTTTAGGATCCTGAAACCATGGAGTCCGATACCGAACTTCTCTAGACGCTGCGGGGCCCTAAACGCAAAGTCTAGAGTGAATTGGTTTCTTGATCCCACTTTTGGGATGCCAATTCTGATAGCCTCCAGCTGCTTCTTGCAATCCCCGAAACTGCAAACCCAAAACCTGAAACCCTAAACCTCGGCCCTCAAGCGCCTCAGATTCGCACCAATGGGCGCACCCTAAGAACTTGAAGCACAGGGTCCTGTTTTCATTGTTTTCTTAAAGCGGCAACCCTAAACCCTAAACCCCAAACCCTAAACCCTGAACCCTACTGCAAAAAACCCTGCAATCCGAGCTGAGTGGAGATGTCAGGTAGTACAGCGCCAAAGGCGGAAGCTTTTCACGAGAGGCCCGCATGCCGTCGATTCAAGATTTTCTGTGCGTTTTAGGGTTTAGGGTTTAGGGTTTAGGGTTTAGGGTGAGTTGGTGGAA